TCCGGTCCGTATCCAGATCAGATGGTGGACCTGCACCCTGAGACCACCACAACAGCCCAGCGAAGACCAGCGAAGACCACGACAAGTGAACATCACGACTGGACTGACATCAGCACAGATCGTCAGCCCTATGGCCAGCAATGAACGTGTCAGGCCAGGAGCTGCTAGGACCACAATGCAGTTTTATCCTGCTTATAGTCACTGTTAATCCAGTCGTCCACTACTGGCTAAACGGCAGCCCTGCTGGACGGACTACAACTTCTCCTCTGGTCAGATGACAGCGTGACGTATCCTGATCTTCAAGCAGCAGGAGCTGGAGGAAGTATTCTGAATGCCATCAGTCCACAGTCTCACTAGTGAAGCAGCCTGAGATCATAATCACCCCATCTTTGATCATTTATCCAGAGGAGAGCTGAGCCGACTGCTCCTGGTTTCTCCCAAGCTGTTTTTCCTTCGTTTCAGTCACCTGCTGGAGTTTGGGTTCCACTGTCACCTCTGGCTTGCTTAGCTGGGGTTTAAAAGACACTGAATATTCAAGAATAATAGTGATCTGATTGTACTGACACTATTGCATAATGACAAGACTTGAACTGAACTGAGTTGGATCATGATATCACTGTTTTCTCCAGAGCTGCTTTATCGCCAAGACTTTGTTTCATAATTTACAAAATTATTGAACTGAATTGTCTTTCTAGAGGTAAAGTTTTTCATTAAGTAAAACAATGTTTTTGTACAATTTGTGGTTGCATTTTATTTTTCTTCATGTAATTACCTACTTTTTATAGAGTGTTTCATTATTACTGGCCAAGGAAAGTTGATTTTTTTCAAGTTTTGAATGATTTTATGGTTTATTAATATTAATAAAAGGAGACATATTACACTTTTATAGAGCAGTCTAGTCTATATCATGTTTGTTGGCTCTATTTGAGGTATTTCCATCTAGTTTTGGCCAGATTACCCATTTTAAATAAGGTATAGACCCACTACATGAACGGGTCCGGATCGGATCCGGTTCGGATGAACCGCTTTATTAGCGGATAGGGTAGGGTCTGGACCGGATCCGGTGCGCTGTGCAAGTGGACTCCGATACGGATCCGCTCCGGAGTCATTTTGCTATCTGGGATTCCAGAGCGGAAGCAAATGTTCAGATTTGATTAAAGATTAGGAAGACAAACTATTTTTTTCAGCGGATTAACTTGCACGGATTAACTGTTTACATCAAGACTAGCAATATGCGCTAGTAAAGCAAGTAAAATCAATTTTGATTTCATGCGGACTTTAAGGATGCATGCTTAAAGCCACGTTAAAATTAAATGTTCACGGCCACATAAAGCTGTTAGAAAGCAGATTGAGGATTTTCTAGAAGCAAGGATAAAATAACATTTTGTGTAACGTGTCTCTTTCACAAAACGATAGCTCAAATGTGGAACTTTATTCACTAAAATAAATGTAATCTGACCATATCTAAAAACTCGCTCACTCTGCTGTCATTTAATAGATTAAATGCACTAGAATTTTATTGAGTAGTACGTGGAGACACGTTTTTAATTAAAATATTCATATTAATCAAGGATTTATTGACTTTTAATGCACCTTATTTCGAAATGTGCAGCGCTTTCATACGTCCTTTAGTTATGATTATTTCATTTATTCACGATAATATTTATTAAATGTCTCATTTCAGTTTTAGTTTGGCTCTAGTTTTGTATGTATTCCAGCTTATATCCCACTGGTTTTATGTGACGGAACCAGCCTGCAGCGTGACGTCACGAGAGCAGCGAGCGCCTCGAGTGTGACGTCACAGAGCCGCGGCTATATAAAGCCTGCTCAGGATTCTAAGAGCAGACCGAGTGTTAGAGGGTTTGAACGCCACTCACTTTAGGGTCACGCTTTACACAGTCTTTTCTGACTATTCACATTTCACACACATTACACAGTGTGTCCACAGTCATCAGTATAATCAGATTTCTGTCATAATCAAACAAAATGTCTACAACAGCTGGGCGCAGGGAGTCTGTCGCTGGAGCCGCCTGGGCTTTGAAAGCATCCAGCTTCGAGAGCATCAATCTGAGCGATGAAACGATGGAGAACAGCCCAGCAGGTGAGGTGGAGATCAACAGCAGTGATCTCTCTAGTGCTACTCTGCTGCTCTCGGTCTGAGCTCAGTGTTTGACCTCTTTGACCTCTTATATCCAGCGTTCCAGCCAAATATGACTTTAACTAGGGCTGGGTTTACCTGGGTATGCTCAGCTCTCGTCCAGGGGCCTAAACACAATGAAGAGAGATGTATAACATTTTTGTTATACTATGGGCTATCTACAGCAGTAAAAGAACCAAAACCACAGCAAATAAATATAACTAACAATAGGGTAAAAAATGACACACTATTTCTGTTTTCCGACATTTTTATGTTGCGTAAATCACGCTTTCTGTCTCCAATTCTCTCTCAGAGACGTGAACAGAAACTTGTTGTCAGCGCTGCCCCGCAAATTTATCAACCAAATAGTTTCGCCGCTGAAAACCTGGATGACATTTCTTAGTAGCGGGGTTCTTGAAGCAGTTCAACTTAAAGATTCGCTATTAGTAGACTCTGCTGCTGAACACTGCTGAGAGACGCACAGCCGATAAAAATGTGTTTTGCCTAAGTCACTATAAAAGGTAAATCCGGCCCTGAATTTAACTGCAGATCGTTTCTGGGAACTAAGTACAAGTTATTCTACCGTAATTATTAGAGCTGCACTTTACTCCATCTTTGATCATTTATCCAGAGGAGAGCTGAGCCGACTGCTCCTGGTTTCTCCCAAGCTGTTTTTCCTTCGTTTCAGTCACCTGCTGGAGTTTGGGTTCCACTGTCACCTCTGGCTTGCTTAGCTGGGGTTTAAAAGACACTGAATATTCAAGAATAATAGTGATCTGATTGTACTGACACTATTGCATAATGACAAGACTTGAACTGAACTGAGTTGGATCATGATATCACTGTTTTCTCCAGAGCTGCTTTATCGCCAAGACTTTGTTTCATAATTTACAAAATTATTGAACTGAATTGTCTTTCTAGAGGTAAAGTTTTTCATTAAGTAAAACAATGTTTTTGTACAATTTGTGGTTGCATTTTATTTTATATTTTTCTTCATGTAATTACCTACTTTTTATAGAGTGTTTCATTATTACTGGCCAAGGAAAGTTGATTTTTTTCAAGTTTTGAATGATTTTATGGTTTATTAATATTAATAAAAGGAGACATATTACACTTTTATAGAGCAGTCTAGTCTATATCATGTTTGTTGGCTCTATTTGAGGTATTTCCATCTAGTTTTGGCCAGATTACCCATTTTAAATAAGGTATAGACCCACTACATGAACGGGTCCGGATCGGATCCGGTTCGGATGAACCGCTTTATTAGCGGATAGGGTAGGGTCTGGACCGGATCCGGTGCGCTGTGCAAGTGGACTCCGATACGGATCCGCTCCGGAGTCATTTTGCTATCTGGGATTCCAGAGCGGAAGCAAATGTTCAGATTTGATTAAAGATTAGGAAGACAAACTATTTTTTTCAGCGGATTAACTTGCACGGATTAACTGTTTACATCAAGACTAGCAATATGCGCTAGTAAAGCAAGTAAAATCAATTTTGATTTCATGCGGACTTTAAGGATGCATGCTTAAAGCCACGTTAAAATTAAATGTTCACGGCCACATAAAGCTGTTAGAAAGCAGATTGAGGATTTTCTAGAAGCAAGGATAAAATAACATTTTGTGTAACGTGTCTCTTTCACAAAACGATAGCTCAAATGTGGAACTTTATTCACTAAAATAAATGTAATCTGACCATATCTAAAAACTCGCTCACTCTGCTGTCATTTAATAGATTAAATGCACTAGAATTTTATTGAGTAGTACGTGGAGACACGTTTTTAATTAAAATATTCATATTAATCAAGGATTTATTGACTTTTAATGCACCTTATTTCGAAATGTGCAGCGCTTTCATACGTCCTTTAGTTATGATTATTTCATTTATTCACGATAATATTTATTAAATGTCTCATTTCAGTTTTAGTTTGGCTCTAGTTTTGTATGTATTCCAGCTTATATCCCACTGGTTTTATGTGACGGAACCAGCCTGCAGCGTGACGTCACGAGAGCAGCGAGCGCCTCGAGTGTGACGTCACAGAGCCGCGGCTATATAAAGCCTGCTCAGGATTCTAAGAGCAGACCGAGTGTTAGAGGGTTTGAACGCCACTCACTTTAGGGTCACGCTTTACACAGTCTTTTCTGACTATTCACATTTCACACACATTACACAGTGTGTCCACAGTCATCAGTATAATCAGATTTCTGTCATAATCAAACAAAATGTCTACAACAGCTGAGCGCAGGGAGTCTGTCGCTGGAGCCGCCTGGGCTTCGAAAGCATCCAGCTTCGAGAGCATCAATCTGAGCGATGAAACGATGGAGAACAGCCCAGCAGGTGAGGTGGAGATCAACAGCAGTGATCTCTCTAGTGCTACTCTGCTGCTCTCGGTCTGAGCTCAGTGTTTGACCTCTTTGACCTCTTATATCCAGCGTTCCAGCCAAATATGACTTTAACTAGGGCTGGGTTTACCTGGGTATGCTCAGCTCTCGTCCAGGGGCCTAAACACAATGAAGAGAGATGTATAACATTTTTGTTATACTATGGGCTATCTACAGCAGTAAAAGAACCAAAACCACAGCAAATAAATATAACTAACAATAGGGTAAAAAATGACACACTATTTCTGTTTTCCGACATTTTTATGTTGCGTAAATCACGCTTTCTGTCTCCAATTCTCTCTCAGAGACGTGAACAGAAACTTGTTGTCAGCGCTGCCCCGCAAATTTATCAACCAAATAGTTTCGCCGCTGAAAACCTGGATGACATTTCTTAGTAGCGGGGTTCTTGAAGCAGTTCAACTTAAAGATTCGCTATTAGTAGACTCTGCTGCTGAACACTGCTGAGAGACGCACAGCCGATAAAAATGTGTTTTGCCTAAGTCACTATAAAAGGTAAATCCGGCCCTGAATTTAACTGCAGATCGTTTCTGGGAACTAAGTACAAGTTATTCTACCGTAATTATTAGAGCTGCACTTTACTTCTTGGGTCAGTTTACTGTCAGGAAATTGAATCGGTTTCTGATCCGTAGTCAGAGATGTTTGCTTCTAATAGTTTGCTCTTCGCTCTTCTTTATTCCAGACAAAGCTTCCAAAGGGAAGAAGGGGAAAGCGGTGCGTGTCTTCCGGAAGCTGTGCCAGGCTGGAAAGCGGCCGTTCGTCTGCGGGCCGGACAGAGTGGTGCGTCTCAGAGCACAGACGGACGATCCCGAGGTGACGCCTGTCTCTGGTCCGGCGGCTGCCGCGGATCCTGCCGTTCTTGAGCTGCCGTGTCTGCCGGGTCAGGTGTGGGACGATCCGGAGCCGCCGTCGTGTGTGCCACATTCCTCCGGGATCACCAAGCAAACGCCGGATCCTATTCCAGATTCATCCGCTCTGAGTCTGTGTCACAGTGAGTCATTATTACTTTGGTTCCTTTATTTCTATCTTGTTCTATTCTAATTATTATTATTTGGCAGCGGCTATTTGCACTAAGTAAAAATAGTATATTTTCTATACTAAGTGCAAGATTTTCTGCTAATTATACCACTTATTGCAAATAGTGTCAATTATCTGCATATCAGTGTTGTAGTACATTATAAAACAGTATGCAATAATAGCGTATTAAATGCAAATTATAATTTTAATTCAAATGATTAAACAGATGCCACGTTATTGGGACAATATAGCGCTCCCTACACCTACCCTAACCCTACCTGATACTTTATTTTCAACTTTTTGATTATTTCCTTAATTTTTATTGAAAATAAATGGCTTTTCTATGTGATATGAGATTTGAAAAGGGAGAAACAATTTTGACAAAAGGGTTGATTGTGTCAAAAAGCACGCGCCTTAACCATTTACGCCACTGGAACAGATGTTTGATGACCGTCTTTTGTAGTGTTGACCGATCACACTTTGGAGTTAGTGTAACTAGCCTCTGCCAACAAGGCGTGCTATTTGCACTTAGTGTAAATAGACAGTCTGTTGTAATTCTGATTTGATGACTTAAAGGGATAGTTCACCCAAAAATGAAAATGTGATGTTTATCTGCTTACCCCCAGGGCATCCAAGATGTAGGTGACTTTGTTTCTTCAGTAGAACACGTATGATGATTTTTAACTCCAGCCGTTGCAGTCTATCTGTCGTATAATGCATGGCAATGGTAACAAAATCTATGAGAGTAAAAAAAACATGCACAGACAAATCCAAATTAAACCCTGCGGCTCGTGACGACACATTGATGTCCTAAGACACGAAACGATCGGTTTGTGCCAGAAACCAAACAGTATTTATATCATATTTGACCTCTAATACACCACTATGTCCAACTGTCTTTGAGCGTGCGCACGGCATCCGGTGCGTGAGGTGTGTACACGCTCTGGCGTAGTTTATGCGAGCGCCGGAAGTGATCTCTCGCGCGTATACGTCACTCATTGTTTACACAGTGCACAGTCATTGTAGGTACCACGGCTAATCAAAATGGTACTTATTTGCGCTTATCCGGATTGTTCAAACCGACTTAAAACTAAAAGATTATGTTCTCTCGCGCGAACTCATTCGGGAGTGGTGACT